TTTCTTTCTTTCTTTCTTTCTTTCTTTCTTTCTTTCTTTCTTTCTTTCTTTCTTTCTTTCTTTCTTTCTTTCTTTCTTTCTTTCTTTCTTTCTGCTTTGGAGACAGCATTATAAGATAATCACATTAAATGACAACAAAGAGCTAACACATTAGCTTCGTTTGATAGACCAACCTGTGTTCACAAATGCATGCGGTCGTACCTGCTGTGTGGCAGTGTAGTTGGCGGGGTTGGACACTGAGTTGTTGGTGGTGTAGAGGCCTGAGGAAGGAGTGAAACTGGAACCTGTTCAGAAATTAACCCCCCTTTAGCAAGAACTTAAAAACCAAAAATGTTTAAGTTAAATAAAAGGCTGTGTTATAAACAGACCTGGCATTGGATAGGGGGAGTAGGCAGTCTGTCCAGGCTGAGGTGTGGTAAAGCCGGGGCTGTAGCTGAGGCCTGTCTGCAGAGGAGACTGACTCTGGGCTAGGCCGCTTTCTGTTTTTATGCCGGGAAGCATCACACCGAGGTCTATGGCAATTGAAAAAAAAATAATGATATTAAATGTTTCAGCTTTAATTTGCAGAGTTTAACAAAAGTCTCTTCTTCCTCAGAAGACTTGGAGACTTCCACCTGCCACTGAGGGTGCTTAAGAACTTCTACTACTGCACCATCAAGAGCGTCCTGACGAGAAACATCTGCACCTGGTTTGGGAACGGCACCAAGCAGGACAGACAAGATCTGCAAAGAGTGGTGCGCTCGGCTGAACGCATCATTCAATCAGAGCTTCCTGACCTGCTGTCCATCTACACCAAGCAGTGCAAGACTAAAGCCAGGAAGATTATGATGGACCTCTCCCATTCCAACAATGGACTCCTCTCATTTCTTTTTATTCATAATTTCTTACGTAAACTGTTATTTGCACATTTTAACTGTAAATTTCTAAGTTAAAATCTGCAAATTTTGTAGTAATCTGTAAATATGTAAATCATTTAATGGTCGGGCATTGCACAGCAATAAGCATTTCACCACGTATCGTACTGTGTATGGTTGTGTGTGTGACAAATAAAATTTGAATTTGAAAAGTATTGCATTAACTATTTACATATACATTGTCCCCAGTTTTAGAGACTCGAAATAAACTGAACAAACTAACGTAATTTTAATTATAAGGATTATTTTTATAACTATAATTCTTTGCAGTTAATGACTGACTGAAGTCAAGATACTATGGGCATCACTATATGCTCCTTCCATGCTTGAGATGTTCTGCCAGGCCTTTACTTCCACCACCTTCAGTTGCTGCTTGTTTGAAGGTCTCGCTGCATTCAGTTTTGTCATCAGTAACTGCAAAGCATGCTCTGATTGGCTGTGATCAGGTGACTGAAAAGCATACCCCATCAGAAAGAGTCTATTTTTCTTGCTTTCAGAAACTCTAGGTTGCTTTTGCAGTTCGTTTTGGGTCATTAACGTTTGCACTGTGAAGTGCTGTCCAATCAGTTTTGCAGCTGAATCTGAGCAGAGAGTAAAGCCCATAATACTTCACAATTCATCCTGCTACTTCTATCAGCAGTCACATCATCAATAAACACTAGTGACCCAGCTCCACTGGCACCCATACACATTCATCTCAGTTCCATGTGTCCAAAAATTTTTGTCAGAACTGTGGCGACTCTTTTAGATGTTTTCTGGCAAAGTCCACTCTGGCCTTCTTGTTCTTGAGTGTAACCAGCGGTCTGCACTTTGCTGGTCTGCATTTCCATTCATGAAGGTGTTGCTTGATTGTAGGCCTTGACAATGAAACACCTATCTCTGTGAAAGTGTTCCCGACGTGTTTAAATGTTCTGAAGTTGTTTTTCTTAACCACGGAAATAGTTCTGTCCTCATCCACTTTAGTTAGCCTCTGTGTTCTTTCAAGACTTTTGGTGTTGCTGAGATGGGCAGTAACGCCGTAGATTTTTAAGAGTCTACCAGTGATTTGGCCACTGTCTCTCTGATAGCTTTATTTGGGCTTCCCTCACTTACATCAACATCTCTTTAGACCTCATTTTGACAGTTTTAATGAAGAATAACCAAAATGTAATATAAAAACACTTTGAATCAACTCCACATTTTCATCTGCTTAATTTTTCATTGAATACCAAATGAATAGGCCTTACTGGGACACGAAACTGCTCAACAGTCAACTGTGCAATTAATTTTGAGCCTCTAAAAATGGCTGTAATTTCTAAACAGTTAATACAATACTTTTGTTAATTCAATTTAATTAAAGCTGGAAGTCTGCTCTTCAATCACATCTTGATTGCTTGTTTTAAAATCCAGTGCGGTGGTGTACAACAGGAAAAGTTACAAGAGATTGTTTCATCGCCTACATACTTATGGATCTAACTGCATATTGTCCTCATTCTGCTACGAGTTCACTTTCAGTTCAGTTTATTCGAATCTTTGGCTGTACCCAGTTGCAATGATTGAATGGGTGAAAATATTGAATTTCTCCCCAAATAGAATACAGCATAATGAGTTTACTTCTAGTTTTTAAAGGGCATCCAAAGCAGTCACTCAGCACAAACACATCAACCCAGTTGCATGGGAAAACTTAGGTTTGAGTTTGAACAATGTCTCCTACCACAAAATAATACCATATAAATAAGATTCCTTCTTTCACACAACACTTGCAGTTTAGTTTGTAAATCTTCGAAAAATAATTTTTCTGCAGTTTTTGTATGGAGATGTGTGGGTAGAACTATGTGGCTTATTCAGCGTGTGTTGGTTCACACCATAGGTAGACAATCCGTAGGCCTGGCCTGTCTGCGAATAAGCAGTATAGACGGTTGATTGCTGCATGCTGCTGAACTGAGGTTGGCCGGTGTACGTCGGCATGGAAGGAGCTGCCGGCGTGGAGAGGATGTGAGGGTAGGGCCTATAAGAGAGAGGAAAGTGACAGTGGGAGTAGGTAAATTAGCCACTTGGTATATTATAGCATTTAGGAGTTATTTCGTTGAGTAAAATTCAACTTTAGCTAACCTTACAGAATGTAAACAAAGATGCCTGTTCAGTTTTAAAACTTGGACTTACTTGGATGGGTAGAGAGGGGGAGAGTACTGGTGGGCTGAACGAGGGCTGTAGCCGCTGCTGGTGATTACTAAAAACAGCAAAATAATCAAAAACAACAAGGCAAAAACATGTTACGGATGGTGTCAACTCAAATCTGCTGCTTTTCTGAGCATTTACCAAAACCACTCCTGAGCAGGACAATTCGGGGCCTCCAGCTTATTTGAGCCGAGATGCCGTTCCAGTAAACATAATTTGAAGCATTTTGAATGGAGGGGAGCCAAGTTCTTCCTTTAGAGATCACCGCAGTCCCTGAAACCCTTACAGTGGGCCTCATAGCAAAACACAATGTCTGTTTGTGGTCATTGAGATGTCAGAGCTCAGTACTGACAAACACCCTGCTGGGTTTAAACCCCTCTCTCTGTTTTGTAGAATGGCTTTGTGTGTGTGTTACAGTGTGAAAGAGAATGGGGGACGTGTGTGAGTCCAAAAAAAAAGAAAAAAGACAAGTGTAAAATGTCTCTGCCCCTCTCTTATCCCTCTGCCAGCCTTTGATGATGATGCAATCCAAGGACAGGCAATATTTCACTGGATTAAAGCTTTCAGCAGGTCTACCAGTGAGCTCAAATGGATGATGGTGATTGTGTGACTTCTGTGCGTCTGAACAAAAACAGACAAGCGGAGACCAGAAGGCATTTATATTTCTGCGTCTATCTATGGCTGATTCAGTTGTCAACTCACTGTACTTTTTTCCCCCATCTACAGTCTTACAGCAACTCCGAGTGCAGAGGGATTTGATTTTTTCAAACCTACACTGTTTTTAAAAAGCAGTGTATTCACCTGAACCACAGAATGTATATTATATATTGATCAGCTTTCTGACCACTATCACAGCTACTTATACAACTACTACTACTAAAAAATAAATAAATAAAAGACAGTCAAAAGGTTAAACTCAAGCCTGCAAATTTAAAATTAGCAATAGCTGTTTTGGGGAAGCAAGTTAAAAACTAACTATAATCTATGCAAAATACACTTCTTCTGGTTTTGTCACAAGTCCACACGCCATTATCCTGCCCATGATGCTTTGCAAATTCCTAGTCTTCCTTTTGGATTCTTAATGCTAGATTAATGAATAAACTGACAGGTATGGACTTTGGTGATATTTCTGAATTGTGTGCATATTTATCCAAGGGTCTGTGCTTTACCTGAGCCTGCGTATGTATCCAGGGCTGTGTCCCCTGTCGTAGTAACTGTATCGCTGTTGTTCAACGGCTCTGTTTTCACTTAAAGGAAAAGGAAAAGGTCAGTATTAGGGTAAAGCAGTAAAGACTTCCCACAACACACAGACAGAAACAAACCTTAGTGGGTAAGAGCAGAAAACGTCCATGCAATTCCAGCATGTCAACTTAATGCTGCGTGCAGGGTTCCCATTGCAAGCACTATTTAATTTCACAGTCTTTAAATGGCTCTCTATAACCACTCTGCTTGAAGCTTTTTACTTCGTCATTGTTTTCTGATGCTATTTTTAAGATATGGATGACTTTGAAAACTATAAAATGTAAGTAACACATTCAAAAATGAATTACTGCAAAGTGATCCTTAGCAAATGTTTGCGATTTATTGCCCTCCCCCTGCAAATTTATCAAATTCCCCTCTTTTCAGAGGGTCTTTGGTAGGAACCCTGTAAATATACTATAAAAATAAAAAAATAAAAAAGAGAGAAAGAAACTTCACACACAGTAATAAACTGGGATGCAGAAAAACAATGAAGATTCAGAAAGCAGAGAAAAAATTCACAGCAAACCAAAAATCAGTCAGAGCAACTCTGGCAAGAACCAACAAACAAAACCCAAAATAAAAAAAAACACAACTAACAACAAGTCAACAACCGTGGCTAGCTAAAACTAAAGAAAGTTCAACGGCTATGCTTTTGCTGTATTGCTGTAAAATCTTTGCTCTGGGATTCACACACATGCACCTCTGTACCATATTCCTTGGAGCCTGTGGCAGGGGATGGGCTGCTGCAGCCCAACAGCCAATCAGCCGTGTTAAGAACGGTCATGCTTTCACCTATAGGGGTGCAAGGTGGGAAGGTGATGAGGATACGACCCACTGAAAACCAGATGCAGGTCAAAGGTATACGGGGTCACATGGTACTGATCTTTTCGTAGACATTCGCGTTGAATATAAAAGAAAAAAAAAACATTCCCGAAATAGTTATATTATGGGAATATTTAAAGACTTGTGTTTTTTTTCCCCCATCGTCTTGCTTTCATGTTTTCTTGCCAAGTTATTAAGACGGTCAGTAACAATTTTGTCTCTATGCTAAATATGAAGCTAGAGTAAGGAAATGGTTAGCTTATAAAACTGGTAGAACAGCTGCTTCCCAGCGCTCCAAAAGCTTAGAAACAAGATGTCAGTAAAGGCATATATAACCCCCAACCTGCTGATTTTTTGTACAGATTAAAACAAACTGATTTCAGAACTCTAGAGGTGCTGGTAGGTGGATTTTGTTACCCTTGGACAAAGCCAGACGTAATTTTCCCACCTGTTAAGTCTAGTTTGAGTCTTAAATCAAAGGTAATATATCCATTTGGGTGTAGGTCAAAATAACCCTTATGTATCTCACACTGGATTTTGGTAAGCCCTTCAAATCATTCTCTGTCTGAATAATTTTCCCTTTAAGTCACCCCATTTATGCAAACTTTCTTGTAATTGGCTGCCCCTTAGGGAAAAAGAGAAAAGAAAAATAGCTGGGTGAGTCAATGTGGTGCGAATGGTTGTCTGTCTCTATGTGCTTTCCCCCGCGACAGACTGATGACCTGCCCGGGGTGTACCCTGCCTCTCACCCTAAGACAGCTGAGATAGGCTCCAGCCCACCAGCGACCCTGAATTGGATAAACTGAAGAGAACGGATGGATTGGGCTCCTGTGCTCACATCCATAACCAGAAGGCTGTGATGACCATATTAAGGATATCCCTTCTTTATGATATCAAAGATCCAATAAAAAACTTTCTGAAACTGAGCATGTTTCAGAAGAAAGAACTGATGCTGCCTCAATTGGTCACACAAAGTCACACAGCAACCCATGTAGTGAGTCTTCATGTCACTTCGGAGGAATTTTGGCCCACTCTTCTTTGCAGAATAGTTTCAATTCAACAACATTAAAGGGTTTTTAAGCATGATCGTCCTGTCATGCCAAAGAATCTCAATCACAAATCCAGACTATAACTAGGCCACTCCAAAACCTTTTTTCTCTGAGCCATTCAGAGGTGGAATGCTGGTGTTTCAAATTATTGTCCTGCTTGAATATCAGGGCATGAACTGATGGCCGGACATTCTCCTCATTCTCCAGAATTTTCTGGTAGAGAGCAGAATTTATGGTTCCATCACTTATGGCAAGTCGTCCAAGTCCTGAAACAGCAAAGCAGCCACAAACCATCCCACTACCACCACCATGTTTGAATATTGGTTTTGTATTTTTATGAAATACTGTGTTAGTTTTATGCCAGATAAAACAGAACTCAGATCTTCCCAAAAGTTCAAGTGTTGTCTCATCAGTCCAGAGAATATTTTCCCAGAAGTCTTGGGCATCATCAAGTTTTTTGGCAAATGTGAATCTTTGTGTTCTTTTTGGTCATCAGCGGTTTTCTCCTTGGAACTCTCCAAAGGGTGCCATTTTTGCCCAGTCTTTGTTATTGTTGAATCATGAACACTGACCATAACTGAAGGAACGTATGGCCTTTTAGTTCTTTAGATGTTATTCTCAGTTCTTTTGTGACCTCCTGAATGAATTGTCGATGTGCTCTTGGAGTAATTTTGGTAGCTTGACCGCTCCGGAGAAGGTTCACCATGGTTCCACTTTTTCTCCATTTGTGGAAAATAGCTCTCACCATGCAGTCCCAATGCCTTAGAAATGGCAGTTTCCAACCAGTGACTTTAACCGATTCTAAACAGGTCTTACATTTTTATAGATGGTGGCATGATCTGGGACTTTTTGAGGTCTATAAGCCTATTTCACTTTGTCATACAGATTCTGTTTCAATAAGTTCTTGATTCAACAGGTCTGGTAGTAGCCAGGACTGGTTGTAGCTAATGAAACTGAACTGAATTTTGGTTAAACACATTTAATCCCTGATTCATCCACAAAAAGGCACATTTAGATAGCTTGAGTTAGAGTGAGAAATATAAATACATATACATTCTGGGGACATGTGAGACTAACATTAATATGTCAAAGTAGAAGGATATGCGACTTTTAAGACAGAGCTATTTTATTATAATACATGACAACTGTATCTGCTTTAACAAACAGCTATTAGATTAATCTCCTGATATTTCTGTTTCTACAAATATGTTCTTGCTAAAGTCTCGAGCTATTCTTCTAATTAGCAGCTCATCTATCATCACGTGATTGCGCTTTTTAAAAGAAGAGGACACCTGTTAATCAGTTTATCATTCTACATAATGTGTTTCAGGGGCTTCTTTTCTCAAACGCCCATCACTAGCAACCATCTGAAAACTCAATTGAGTTCAGGACAACTTCATTAATCCCCTAAGGGAACAATACAATCCACTGGACAAGCTGTAATGAAGACAAATGAATTGCTATGGAGATGGCCTTTGGGCCTGAGCGTTCGCTGATGTCAGGTGAGGGGAATGTTGAGTATGTAGATTGTTTTGGCTCTCTGTGAAGCCCGAGCTCTGTCTGCTTAAATCATTAACTGTGAGCTCATCAAAAATGATTTAATGTGCTCTAATACAGTCTCGGTGTGCTGTTAGCCCACACTGAGCATGTGTGACTGCGAGTATGTTAACACATCAAAATGACTAAAATACAGCATCTCACTTTTTCCATGACATTATTATTATTATTAGAAGTGGTTTCCACCGCCTGGTAAATCAGCAATAGATCAAACGATGGCCCTCAACAAAAGCACCATGTCCAGGGCTATATCATCAAACTGTCCTGACAGAAATGGTTCCAGAGGACAGAGCATGAGAAAGTGGGAAGATCAAGGGTGAGAGGAGAAAAAAAAGATTAATAGAAAGAAGGAGAAACGCATACGGACTCAGAGTAAAGAAAAAGAAGAAAAAGAGAGGAGCGGGCTCACTGGTGTTGACATATAAGAGAGCAGTGATGCTTTAATGCTCTTGTAGAGGAAATAGTTTCCAGTGGGATTTTGAGCTTGCTCTCCAACACACACATACAGACACTTTGCCAAGCCGTTAGCGGAGGAGTGCAGAAGTGCTTCGCCGTGTGTTTACACACATTCTCCGGTGGTTTATTCAAGAACTCATGCCAGCTTGGAAGTGTGTATGCATGCATTTGTATGTGCGTGTGTCCCTCCATCTCCATAAATTCCTCAAAAAGTATTTATCTCTACATGCTGAAAGGATTTCTGACTGATGATTTTGCAATAAATTTCATTGCATTACATTTTTCTCATCAAATGCTCTTGCCTTAAGTGACTTTCAACATGTGCATTGGACCTCCTTTGGCATTAAGATTATATTAAAAAAGGAATAAAAGACAATGAGTATTCTGAATGGAGGAGTTTAGACTTTCAACTACATTTTACACAACGTAAAAAAAAAATAGAAATCAGTAAATTCACTGTTCCTGCATCAATGGCTCTCTCCTTTCTTCAAAGAAATAATTCACCCTTTAACTTTAATACATCATGGACCTTTATGCAGCATTTCAAGTAAACGTACATACTGGCAAATTTGTTTTCTAGTTTAGAGTTAGAAAGGACTAAGAGGGTCAGATTAGTTAGCCTTGAAACACGTGAAACTGTTGGCTTTTTCCTGTCCAAATGTAACCAATCTGGCTTACCAGCACCTTTTTAAGCTTAAAAATGAACAAATCTTGTTTGTTTAGTTCAAAAGGGAAACATATAGGTTTTATTTATTTATTTCTTATATAGTATATTTGATATTTATGTATCTGACATACCCCATGTTGGTGTTGTTCCTGGATAAACATTGCATCTGACGGATGATGATGTCTGAGCAATCAGTTAGCATTAGCCAAGAGGTTAGCTAATGCTATAAAGAAACTATCACTTGTAGCAAAGCAACATTGGTAACCTAAATTTAAATCTAAATGTAACCCAAACAATATTTATCATATTGTATAAATGAATAAAGAAAATGCTTGAAATGCTTAGCATTTGTTCCAGAAGAGAATTTTATACTAACAAAAGCCCCCCCACCCCAACATTACAAAGCTATGACATCACAACATTATTGGTCAGCTGTAACGCTCATTCTGGACCAACATTAATATGACGATGTGGGAAAAGCATCCACACAGGGATATTAGGTCATGCCTTTGACTACAGTTGGCCATAGTCAGACAGTGGTTTTGTGACACAGTGGGCAGTCAATAATGCAAAGATCTATTGCAGCAGCATATCGAATGTCCTTTTTCATGGAAGAAGATTGCAAACAAAGAAAGATTCATATAATTTAACGTCAACCTTTATTTTGGAAAAATAAAACTTAATTTTTAAAATTCTTAGTTCTTTTTTTGTGCTTTACTTAAACTGGCATCTTAGAGTGGGAGGGAGCTGATCAGCTACTTGAAAGTAATGTGGGGATGGTGGAGTAGCATTGGGGTTGCCATGAACCCAGAAGCCCACTTTTTCTCAGAAAACAACTAAATCTATGCATTTGCCATCATATTGACTTCCTCTGGGAATGCGTGCAGATTTATTAAGCAGTCGAACACATTTTTTTTCTTTGAGTTTCAGATACACAGCTGAGTACAAAATACTGGAGCCCCTAAGAAAACCTCCTAAAAATCCCATCTTCTCACCTCCTGTTCCATTGGTGGTGATAGACGGGCTGCCAAGGTTGTTCTTGTCCAGCTTGGAGCCTGTCGAATCTCCACCTCCCACTCGGTTATGAGGACTGGCTAGGTCCTGCATTTCCATAGACCTATTTGGGGAGAGAAGATGGCAAGAAAAAAGAGGTAAACTCTCTTCTACTGTTATGTGCTGTATGTGCTATTTAATGAATAGCAGATCAATGCCAATATGTTCTCACAGGTGGGAATTTACATCGACCATACATTATGTTAAGATCCCACTGTACTGTAGATCCTCACAGTCATAAACTCCATACTTCTCAGCACCAGTTAGCTTACATGAGCATGTGTTCAGAGGGGCTACACCTTGTATGTGGGCCTGCTGGCTCTTTTATGGTGTGGCGGTATGTGTGTGTGTGTGTGTGTGTGTGTGTGTGTGTATATAAATTCTGGGCTCCAATACAAACCCACAGCCTGCCAGCGTGCTTTAGTTTTACAATGTGTTCCACATGCATGACTGGGACGAACCAGCACACAAGGTGGTAATGGTAAAGTGAGAGTGTGTCTGCGTGTGTGCGCAGATGACTGGAAGTGGAAGTAAGTAAGACATGAACAGAGTGCAGATGCACATAGTGGAATAAAAGTCTGCCTTTTGTGTATTACAGTTTATTGTGGCAACAACTGCTCTCTCTATAGGCTCTATAACCCCTAACTAAGAGGTAAAAATCCTATTAATACATTTTTATAGTTCTAGATTTCAAGCAAATGTATATTAAATACTTTATTCAGACTTTTCACCACTGTTACCACAAACCCAGATTTCAGTACATTCGGACCAAGACTATAGTTTCATGTTGAATCGGTCTGTGTGTGGACAATACTTCTTACGAATGTGTGTGTGTGTGTGTGCATATTTCTGAGCACTGACTCATGCAGCCCGCAGGTTGGTCACACTTGTGCTCTTGTGTGAGACATCAAAGCCAGAAATGACAGAGATGGAAGAAGAATAAAACAAATGCGGGCCGCTGCTGCTCAGTGTGTGTTTATGCGCGCACGTGTGTGTGTGTGTGTGTACGAAAAGAGAGCGTGTGCATCTGTGTGGCGGTCTGGCAGAAGGCCATCTCAATGCTATGGGCAGATAGTATCTCCACACATGACTGCAACCCACAGTCGGACTGACGGGTATAAACATATAGCTTTCAGCAAACGAGAAAGACCCTGCTAAACGGTGCAAAATGGAGAATGCGTGAAAGATAAACACTCTAAATCAGCTCTCTCCATTTCGGTCAACTCTTCTTTTTGTTTCCTTATTTACGGCTAAACACTCATTTTGTTCTCCCGTTCATTGCATGGACGTCAACGACAGTTTACGGCGGACAAAATAAACGAGCCAAGTCCTACCTTCAAACAAAGGCCTTAAGTGTATCTGCTACACAAGGGAAAAGTTAAGAACTTTCACAGATTATGTTGCCGCCACCACTTCGTTTCCCACCCCCAACCCGCATTTTTTTTTCTCTCCATCATGTGCTTAAACCCCTTCATCCATCCTTTTCTTTTGTCTTTCAACAGCAGGAAATGATTCTGTCTCCCCTTCTTGTTTTTTCCTCTTTTCCCTCTGTTTCACTCCTCTCGGGAGGCGATGGCAAGAGTTGTGGTGTTTCATAAACTCTTCTCTGGTTTTCACATCATGGCTCGGTCATTGAAAAAATATGCTCTATATTACCGAGATGCACGGCGCGTTTTGTTAAATTAGCAGATTTAGGCCTGTAGCTGGTTGTTTTTGATTTATCCACTCCTTTCCCCCCTCTTAACTGAATACGTTGCAGTATATAAACAGAAGCCCATTTCAGAGGATTTTTTTATGCAAGAAAGTGCCTTCTTGTCAATTCCTTCTGAAGGCAAAAAAAAGAAGAAGAAGAAAAAGAAAAATAGTTAAGAGCTGCAATGCAGCTGTTAAGAAGTATAAACTGCTTCATCAATAAGCTACCAAAGGGGGACAAAAGAGGAAAACAGGTAGTAAGAGAAGAATGGCAAAGCTACAGGATCCTGGCATGTAGTAAGTCAAATCTCCAAATTGTCAGGTTGCAGCTACTCTGTTTCTGCAATTTAAGCTATTTCAGACTAGGATAAGTAGTTAAAGTGGATAATTAAAAAAACAAAAACAAAACTGTCTACATTTGCCAGCACTTCAGGCTATCAACAGCTAACTAGACACAGCATGCTACAGCAGTCTTTTGACACTGTAAAATTTTTTGACTCTCGATGAAGCTCCCAGCGCACAGTTTTTGTGCTGATGTTAATGCCTAAAGCTTTCAGCTGATCGTAGAATTCCCAAGAGGGGAGGAATTCCACAAACTGGAGGGGGCATCGTAGTACAGAGACAGACAGACTGCACTAAGGGTGCTTGATTTTCCTGAATTCAAAGATTCAGAGGTGTAGCATTTTAGTGCATATAGTTGATTTCCTAATTTGACTAATTGATATACTGACTGTGTGTAAAGCACATTCCCTTTTTATTGTCTGTTTGATAAAATCAGTATATCTTTCCCTCTTTGTGTGTGTGTGTGTGTTGTGTGTGTAGGTGTGCAGTTTTAGGACACAGAGGTCTTGGGGAAGTGTTGATGACCTCATCACTGCTTGCAACTGCAGTGAAACCTCACCTCTCTGCACCATGACTAATGAACTAGGACGGACGGACAGACACACACACACACACACACACACACACACACACACACACACACACACACACACACACACACACAGAGTTCTGAAAAAGCACATTCTGTATCTCACATTATGCAAACAGACACATGAGCGTACCTGACGTCTGAAGGGTCTGGAACATGAGATTCAGTGTGTGATTTCTTTACCTGCCGAGACAACAGAGGAAAGGAGATGTTATTAAACACACACACACACACACACACACACACACACATACAGTTCATGAGAAAACGCATTTAGTGTGTCATAAACAAACCTCATAAATCAGTTTGTAAACAGGACAGATTATATTAGTATTAACACCGAAGTGGCTAACACATTTAACTAACAAATTAAGGTTTGCCAGTTCGATCCTGGGGGGAGACACAAATCCTTTCGGGCTTGCGTTTGGGAAGGGCATCCCGCTTAAAAATCTGTCAATTCCAACATGTGCCACTACCGACCATGTTAATACGTGAGCAGCTGAACACAGATCTTTTTTTCATATACTAGAATCATCACATTTTGAACAACACCAAATACAGAGAAAATTCTGCCAAGTAGGCATTAAAAACCCAAATCGCATCATCAGTTACCTCAACGGGAAATTACATCACATCAAATGTGACTTACAAATGTTCTCATTTTCAAATGTTAAATGTTTAAAAAGAAATAAATCAGGATGTGGTGTCAGTAGCTGTAGCCGCCACTGTGACAGAAGTACTAACTGGCATCTAAGTGACAGATATTAATTTTCCCTTGTTCACCCGTGACCCCACTCCAGCTCACGCTCAAGCCTCATTTTCAACCCTTAAAGAGTTGAAAGGTCACGGCGGGGTCATGTTAGGTCAAAGCACGGGGTTTAGTCTTCGCCGTTAAACAGGTCACCACAGACACTAAAACAAGCCTTAACTTTTTTTGTGTGGGTGGGGGGACATTTGGCCATGTCAGTTAGTGCGCTGGAACTTTTTACTTCGTCACTGATGTAGGGAAGAAAAAAGAATCAAGAAAACACTCTTCAGCCGCAAACTTTCTCCCTGTGCTCACACGCAGGCTGTTGCTGTGTGTGAGGGTATGTGCAGCTAGACTGCAGACCAGTGGTTCTCTATTAAAATTCCTCTGTCTTATTTGCAACAGGAACTAATTAGAACAGTAAATGCAGGGCGGAGCCAGGGCCAATGTGTACCAGCTGCCCTATAATCACTGTGTCAACACACTGCTGAGGTGTAGGGCACGTGTAGGGTGCCAAAGACACACACCCGTACATGGAAATTCGCATACAGACGCACACCCACACCAAATTCAAGCAGTCATTTGCACATTATCGCAATCACAGGTAAGTATACAGAGAAAGTGCATGGCTAAGCAGACTCTGAACTGCAGGTATGTAGACATTTTAATATTTATGTGTGTGTGTGTGTGTGTGTGTGTGTGTGTGTGTGTGTGTGTGTGTGTGT